AATCCTCATAATTCTGACTACAAGCCCGCGCCAGATGAATAGACCCAGAGAAAAAAAATGCAAATTAGATGCACAATTGATCATTTTCATTGACTTAATAGCCAGTTCTACCACCATTGGCTTCCAACACAGCCACACAACGTCGTGGCATTGACTGGATGAGTGACATAATGAGTTCTTGGCTGATTCCACACCAGGCTTCGATGATGGCCGACTTGAGGTCCGCAATACATTGAAATTGATGGCCATTTCGATAAACATTGCGCGCAAGGAGCCCCCACAGGTTCTCGATTGGATTCAAGTCAGGAGATAGTGAGGGGTGGTCAAATAGAGTAACCTTTTCATCCGACAAAAATTCTTTCGTGTATTTTGAAGTATGAATCGAAGCTCCATCTTGCATCAACACAAAATCATCAGCATAATGGGCAATGGGCAAATGGAAACAAGTAATTGCTTAATGTTTCAACATATGCAGAAGAGTTTTGATTGCCAGAAAGAAATGCCAACTCAGACAAACCAGCAGAAGAAAAAGCGCCCCAAACCATGACCCCACCCCCACCATTCCGACGAGTGAAAAACGTGTCTGGCTCCATTCGAAGGTCGTGCCAGTAATGTTGAAGGCCGTCAGGACCATCAAGATTGAAGCGCTTTTCGTCCGACCAAATAATTCGACCCCAGTCTGGAGGAGCAGCAAGATGCTTCTTGGCGTGCTCGATACTGGCCTTCTTGTGGCGTTTCGTGAGGGGTGGCATGGGTTTTCGCTTCACATAGCTGAGGTTGGGGGCTTGGAGGAGACGCCGTTGGCATGTTCGAAGAGAGGCATCCAAATTGAGACTTGTCTTAAGGCTTCGAGCTGACAAGCCTGTCTTGGATGCCTCACGAACAAGCAAACAGTACTCCCGTCCGATGATAAGGCCTGCCTTTATTCCTTTAAACCTTGTTCCATACTGCTCCGGGTCATTCAGAAAAGTGCGGACGGCCTTTGTTGATCGAGAAATCTCGACAGCTATGGCTCGGATGCTCAATCCGTGCCGTCGGAGAGCCAAGACCATGCCCTGCTCCATGGAACGCAAGAGAGATCCCAGGCCCATTGCGGCAAACAGGTGGAGCTGTTAGAAGGTTCAACATAGTATTGGTGAGGATAGGAGGTCGTGAGTGTGGTTGAATTTACCTCCAAAGTGAAAATTTCCGAATGGGTCTATTCTAGTGGCGTGAGTGTTTGAACCCGGTCGGCCAGATTGTTCAAAGTGGTGCACGATGGGTGGCAAATCGCATGTCAGTGCCATCCACCAATCAAACTCATCGATTTGCGACGTTTGGAACAGCTCAATCGTTTATTGGTCAAAGAGGAAGAACGAAAATATGTGTGGGTCTAATCATGTGGCGCGCAGTGTAGTAAGCTTACAGTTAGTTACAACGTGACAATGGGGGTGACTAAGCGCAGGCTCTGCAAAGTGTACTTGCACGCGTCGACATGTCTGACCTTTGCGGCCGCCATCGTGGTCCTTTACTGCGAGCTCAGGGGGTCGCGGCAAACTCGAGCGACTTGAGTGATGGTTGTGGGCATTGTAACCGACGCGGACATGAGCAACTTGTACAGCAGTTCCAACCAAAGTGAATTCGTAGCGACACTCGTTCTGGGTCCCGACACAGTAGCCACGACGTTACGTCCATTGACTCTATCCTATTCCCGCGGGTATAGCTACTACGCCTAGCCACACGAGCTCGAGCTGCGCGGCGACATGTGCTCGAAAGACGACAATCTGTACGAGCTGGCATTTGTACAGCCCACGCTGGAGCACGCGATGGCCGACGACGTCGTCCTCGGACGGAACATTACCCGCATGGCAAGCATTTCATCGTAGTCGACTGTGCCTTTTATGGTCGGTTCGAAAGGGACACATCCACGTTCAAAGTGCACTTTGTGGACAAGCACTTGACATCGTTGAAGAAGTTTTTCATTCAAACCCTCAGCTTGGATCTGTATCGGCAACACTACATAATCGTTCGACGTCGTCTGGACCACGACTCCGTTGGGCACCTTGCATGTTGATTACGCGACTGGAGTGGACAAATAACGAGGTGTGATTGGGCAATACAAAGTTATCCTAAATTGGTTAAGTTATCTTAAATTGGTTTTTTACGTTACATCCACACTGCAAGTCGTTCTTGATACCGTTTTCCTGCCCACACTATTACGATTTGAATTCGGGACTTCGGAGTTTCGCCTGTAGGCTAGACTCATGAAGCGTACACAACTTCGCTATTCGCATCCGCATGTGCACTGAAGTAGACATACTATTATTCATATTACCAGTAGTCGCATACCGTTGCGCCCATCTAATGTAATATGTTCTAATGAGTAACCAACACGTCCAAACTGTTTGTAAAGCCACTCCCTTACTTGGAACATTATTTCAGCTGCTAATTACGTTACATGAGGCTTCATAATACACAACAAAGCGTCGGTTTACATGTCTTCATTTAGATGCGGCTACAGGTATGTACCGGTAGTAAGCGGTGAGGACCAGTCTAATTGCATTGTTATCCTCCTTGATTTGCCATAGCTCTGCCTGCGTGGCGGTTTGTTGAGATTGATTATCTTAACAAGTGACATATACCATCGAAAGTACTACATTGAATTGATGATAAAGTTGAGTTGTGTTGCCTTTCTAATCGAGAGGTTTAGAGTGTACTCATCTTTACTGTAGCCGTCATCCCAATATGTTATTTCCTATCAAAATTCATCTCGGTGCATTGGACAGTAGTATGTTGAATCTTCACAAACTTTTGTAATCGCAGCGGCTTGAGAGGTACGTTCCACACGTTGAGTCGCGTGAGGTCGTAGTAAAACAGCCGCCGCTGCTTTCTCCTTGACTCGACGTCTCCAGCTAGTGCGAGCGCATGGACCCGAAGAGATCGGCGGCGCTGGCACAGCACATTCCGCACCAAAAGAGCAAGTACTACTGGTTGATGCTCACGACGAACTCATCATTCACAACCACAAACTCGAGCAACCATACCCCCTCCCGATGTGCACACGTTACAGCTGCGTGTTCTTGACATATGTTCTTGACATACTCTTTGGTGGGGGCAACAAACCCGTACTCCTCGGACGCAATGCAGCCTCGAAAGTCGCGTAACCCCGTTTATCGATCGTCGGTACTAAGTTGCCGTACAAGGTACAAAGTCGACCGCTTCGTCCAGTGGGTTGGCGTGAGCCGATGTGACTGCGACTTCGACCGGAAACCCACAAGGGTAGGGAAAATCATTTCCCCTTTGTCCCCTATATTGAAGGAAGGAAGCCTCCTAACCCTTGAAACGTAAGTAGGGTTCAAGGACTGAATATTTCCCTAAGTATAAAATAAGCGGCCCATAGAAAAGTATTTCTTCCAGTTGGGCAAACGTACTTCAGTGGATTGTAGGCCCTCGTGTTAGAAAAGGTTCCGTTGAACACGAAACTGTACATTCGTTCGAGCAATCCACGAAACCACGAATAGCAAGATAAAGGCCACTCAGCCCATTTGGTCCTTTGTGGACTTACTGTATCTAGTAGTTCGTTTCACCCCAAAGCAATGGTCCTATTGGATTAGAGTAAAACGAACAACTTCAAAGTACTGGATATGCCAGAAAGGGACGAATAGTTCTTGCTGTACGCCGCGTACTTCTTCATAGCCCAACCATGTGGCAATCGCTCCATTCAAGCCATGCTGCAATGCACCTACGTAGAGTGGTTTGCAGACACCTAGGATGGCTGCAGTTTTGCCCAGTCCATTCTGAGCTCAAAACGTCGCCGACTGGTATCATCGGCAAGTCGTTGATGTCAAACATTGTTGAACGCTAGTTCTTCGCTGCCAAAATGTTCCATCCTTACAGGCTACAACTGTACCGTTAAAGTTTGTATCCTGTCCATGTGGAGATGATGCTATTCCTGCATGTAAATCAGCAATTTTGGGACGCGCAGGTTGCTCGACAAGTCGAATTTGCAACGCGAGTTCCAAGTCACCCTTAGGGAAAATAGGGTCCCTTAGTAGGAGATAGTTGTCAAATAGGGAAATAAAGTAGGGCAGCCAGTATGCATATTTCCAAAGTAACGTTATGATTTCATTTTGATCGCATTCCCTACTATTCCATAGTATTTTTCTGAGGCCTGCATGAACCCAAGGCGATTACTCCGAAGGTTCAGGATATTAACTCGCTGAATGAGCCAGACAAGATGCATGTAATCGCTCCACATTAACTCTTGGAATGACCCACCTTAGCGTGGAAGAGGCTGGACACGAGGCCAGGTCTGGCAGCGCTGCAGCAAGGGAAGGTCCAGAACCGTGCATAGCCACGATTTAAGATCCATGATGATGAAGTACTATTACAGTAATAGAGGAGTGCTGTTCAAATGGCTGATTCTACGGCATCCCACATAAAATTTGACAGTTACCATAAACTGGATAAATTTTAAGGAGGTACATTGACGGCAAATGCATGGGAATGTGTTCCGAAATCTGTCTAATACTATTCATACTGTAGTACTGCACTCGAGGATTAAGGATGATCTTTTTAATTCTGTAGCTATTGGCTGAAATCGATGATAGTCATTTTCGACCGTGCGACAAACGACATGGCCAAATATTCATCGCGAAAGGTCTTGAAAGGTTGGCTGCGGTTTAGAAAACGTTCGCCTTTGGGTCTAGTAGTTTTGATACAAGGTGGGCATTATTGATGTCAAAAACCAGCTGAATTACCAATATATCCCGAACTGCTTTCAACACACTACGCTCTGGTCTCCGCTTTCTATGTACATGAATGTCATTGAGCGTCAGAGATTGGGTTCATCTCGAATTGAGGGGTATTGTCCGGATAAATGTTATCCGGGCAAAATGCCTTGGACGATAATGGTCTCTTGTGGTCAACGTTGTCACTGGATGGAATCAAGGGGCAGCTTTATAGAGTAGGTTTACGTGAATTTATTATCGGGAGAAATAAAAAATACTACGTAGTATGGCACAAGGGCTACTATAGTTAGTATATTCACAGTCAAGGTGAATATGAAATATGCGGATACCGTTTCCGGCGGTCGTAGGTGGTTGAAGACGTCTTGTACGTTCGTTTAAAACATTACACGCGTTTGGAGCTTCGTTGTGATTGGTTCGTGGAAGTTTGTCTTTCCACTGTCAACCTCATTATCTGTCATGCAGTTGCAAGTGCTGACTATCGCGGTGCTAGCGGCGATGGCGTCGGCGCAAACGGGCGCACTTCTGCCCAGGTGTGACGTGGACGTGTCCGCGGCGTTCAACAGCAGCATAAACAACCAATCGGTGGTGTGCATGAAAGATCAGAACATCAAGGCGGGGTTGCTCCTGGACGTGAGTTTGTTCTGCGCGACCCCGAGCTGCATCAAGATGATGAACGCGACCCAGGCGCAGGCGGCGACGTGCCGTCCGAACGCGACCATCTTGCTGCCGACCAAGTACTGCGAAGAGGTATGCCGTCAAAAGCTCACGGCGATGCAGCTCTTCTCGAAGAACTGCAAGGAAGTTGAAACGTCCAACTTGACCACATACTGCACATTCTGCAACAAGTTTACGCAGGAGGCGGATTCGTTCATCGACGCATGTGGGCTGTGGGACTCGGCGTCCGCGCTGCGCGACACGATCACAACCCCCCGCGCGATCTGCGACAGAGTCAACACGGCCGTGCCACCGCCGGCGCCCGAGTCCAGCTCCACGACGTACATCATCATCGGAGCGATCGGGGGCGTGGTGCTGCTTGGGGCTGCCGCGTACGTGTGCTTGAAGAAGAAGAAGTCCAAGTACGAGGCCGACTACCGGTCCGCGGGCGGCGGGTCGCACATGATCTCGGGCGGGTCCAACGGCCGGAGGTCGCCCGGCGGGGACTCGACGGGCACGGCGCGCACCAACCAGCTGGCCCAAGTGACCATGCAGAACGACATCCGCTTTGACACGGAACTCGCGCAATTCCGCATCCCGCAGCAAGAGATCCAGAACATTTCGCTGCTGGTCAAAGGGGGCTACGGCGTCGTGTTCCACGCTACGTTCAACAAGGTAGACGTGGCCATGAAGCAGTTGCTGCCGTCGAAAGCCAAAGATCAGAACGCGATCCAGGACTTTATGAACGAAATCCGGCTCTGTGCTCGGCTCGAGCACCCCAAGATCGTCACGTTTGTGGGCATTTCATGGTCAACGCTGCAAGATTTGGCAGTGTTGTCCGAGTTTATGGCCAATGGCGATGTCACGGGGCTGATTCGCAAGGAGCGAAAAAAGCCAGACGGAACTCGGCTCCTCCACTGGGTTCCATCGCGTGAATTCGGCACGTCCAAGACAAAAATCGCCGCCGACGTCATCGACGCCCTGGTGTACCTACACTCATTTCAACCGACCGTCATTCACCGCGACCTCAAGTCGAAGAACGTGCTTTTGAGTGCGACGTGGGAGGCGAAACTTAGCGACTTTGGCATCAGTCGCGTAACCAGCCTCGAAGAAACCATGACAAGCAACATCGGCACCGTGGCGTGGATCGCCCCCGAAGTCCTCACCGGGGGGCGGTACACGGAGAAGGCGGATATTTACAGCTTTGGCGTACTTCTCAGCGAACTCGACACACTGCAAGTGCCATATGCGGAAATGCTGGGCAAATCCAAAGAAAATGGATTCTCTAATGCCCGCCTTGCTATGATGGTCAGCGAAGGCGCGCTGCAGCCGACGTTCACTGACGGCATCCCGTCGCAGCTTCACCAACTTGCCATGGACTGCCTCAACTTTCACGACAACGACCGACCTTCGGCCATGAAGCTGTCGTACCAATTGCACAGTATTTTGAAGGATTTCGACACCTTGCATAAGTAGGTACATACGTACACAGTATGTAGAGGTTGAGGACCAACAACCATGAAATGTGTCACCCTGCCATTGTAATAAACGCACTTTATAAACTATTATTTTATACCTAGACTACGTACGCTACAGTGTTGCTTTCAAATATTTATAATTCGAGGTAATAAATTGCGACCACATATTATTATTACGGTAGTACGTATTCATATAACAACTTTTGTATGATACAGTAAGTTACTGGTATTCAACGGTACCTCTTGGACGAGGGGGGTACCATCGATCGAGCTCGCGTGGTGACCCCAGGTCGTCATACTGTAGTTTACCAACTTACATTTCGACGAGTCCTTCTTCAGTACTACGTAATTGACAGTGAACGAACCTATTGCACTATCCGGAGGGTTTGAAGCTATTTCACGCGAAAATAGAAATTCTGAGGGACGTAATTTCGGATCTTAAGTTAGTGCTAAAATAGCAACCGTAAAACGAAGTTTGACTTTAACCTACCAAGTATGTTCTACATTACTACGTAGTATAGTATTTACCGGTAGCAATGACGTGACCGATCATTGATGGGCTGAGTTTTGCATGAGCTTTATTGTCGAATATTTCAGTCGTTTCTTCGTTTTGTACAGTGAAACGTAGTATAACGATTAGCTCACGTTAACATTAACGTTGGGTAGAATGTACCGTTGGAGATGCTCTTGTTTGAGTGATACCATACGTACTCATACTCTGAAAGCTTTTGAGTGTTAACGTTATTGTGCTTTTCACCTATTTTGCCCCTTGTTTTACCAACGTTAATCAAAGCCCCTCTAAAAAAAGAAAAATTAGGCAAAACCTACGTAAACAAGCCGGATATTATTGGCCATTTGCCTAATTTTAGGTTAACCCTCTTGGACGTAAACGAAACTTACAGTTAGATCAAGTAAGTTTAATATATACTACTATAGTAGTAATAACGTTAATTGTAAGATCCTTATTATTTGGACTTGTCAAAATGGAAGTTGGTAAACTATGAGTCTCATCACCGAACGCGAGATCGATGGACGGTACGACGGAAACCTTCACCCAGTGGTACCTCGATTTGCATTTCGCATTTGTATGGAGTATACATATTTCGAAGTTGCCTTTAAAGTAACACTATTATGGGATACTAGTAATTTGTATACTGTATACCCCCCGCTTCAGTACCTATGAAAATGTCAGTGAAATCTTATCACAACCGGTGGTGCGGTACCTTGAAAACTATTCAGGCATGCGTATTGGTCTAAATCCATCACAGAACTTATATTTCATTGGATGAAAATAATTAACGCATGGTGATTGGATAATTCTGTCCAATTAGAGACAACTAGGTACACGCCCAACCTGAACCATGAAAATGTCCGATATGTTCCAAACCGGTACATGTCCAACCGGAGAAATCATAGGTACTGACATGTGAAGCACAATATTTTTATTCTCAATAGATGACGATTTTCGTCGTTACCCGCTCGCCCAATTCTACAGCCGTCATTTCTTCCAATATTTCTTCACACATTTGATAATCATATGGACAGGTTTCACGACACTCGAATATTTTATAAATATTCACTTTCACTAGACATTTGTATGAGACTCAAATATAAATACACTCAGATCTATACTACAGTACTGCACACAACTTCAACAAGATCTTTCACGTCCTCATTTTCGAATTCGCCGATCCCCATGCAAGTGTACTCCCCACTCTCCCACGATGCCGATCGAGGCGTGACGATCAACTTTGCGTCGCCCGATATTGACAACATCTGCCACGAGATCAAGGCCGCCATCGCGGGGTTCGGCACCGACGAGCAGCGCTTGAACCGCGCGTTGGGTGCGCGCACAGTATCGGAGCGCTACTTGGTAAACCTGCGGTACCCGCAACTCCACGGCAAGTCGCTTGTGGACGAGCTCGAGAGCGAAACGTCGGGTGACTACCGCAAGTTGCTGCTGTTGTTGGCGCAGCCGTTGGAAGACGCGGAAGCCACCATCATCCGCGACGCGACCAAGGGGTCGGGCACGAACGAAGAGCTGCTGTACCCAGTGTTTGGCGGCCGCACCTCGAACGAGATCTCGATCTTGAAGAAGGCGTTCTTCAAAAAGTACCAGAACGACTTGGTCGTAGTCGTGGCCGACGACGTGGGCGGCGACTTGAAGAAGCATTACCTCGCCATCTTGAACGCGCTCACCCAGCCGTACGACCCATCGATCCACAATCAACACAAGGCGGAAGAAATCGCTGAGTTGTTGTACAAGGCTGGCGAAGGCAAGTGGGGTACCGACGAGAGCGCGTTCATCAACGCACTTGTGTCGATCCCTCCGCAGTTCCTTCGCGCCGTCGACGCCGCGTACGTGGCCAAACACAAGAGCAACCTCGCCCGCGCGATCGAGAAGGAGTTCACGGGAAACACGGAGCGTGCGATGATGTACCACGTAAACATCACGTTGAACCCCATCGAGACGGTCGCGGACCAATTCGAACACACGATGAAAGGCATGGGCACGGACGAGTACAGCCTCGGCGCCGCAGTCGTGCGCTACCAGTCGATTCTAAAGGAAGTCGCGCCCGTGTACAAGGCCAAATATGGGAAGTCCCTCCGCGATCGCATCCACGACGAAACTGGCGGCGACTTCCAAAAGCTCATTTTGATTGTGCTCGAGCATTCGATTTAACAAGGCAGTCGCGGCGTACGTTAGTATGTAGTAGTCCTACTAACTACAGTACTGCCTACAAAATGGCTATGTTTTGAACAAAATAATATCCATTGGTCCATTCGCAATTTGTCTTTTTTTATTGTTTTTGCTGTCGCAACACTATATGAAAGTCTCTAATAAAGTCTCTGTTATTATCTGTAAATCTCGTGCATCCTTTAATACTATTAAAAGTAGTAATTATTGTTCACCACAAAAAATAGTGTCGGGTCTAATCAGGAGACATGGGCCGATTTCGTGGTAAGTTTTTTTAGAACTTTGTAAACAATAAATCATACTTAACAGCTAGTAGCTACAATATTCATACCAACTTCAGTAATATTACCTCGAAGTATAAATGAACTAACAGTAGAAACACCTGTCACTCACAGTACTCCCACGCATCCTTGGTGAAAGTTTGCCCTCGCAGAAGGCAGGGCACTATTGGCGTGGTATAAATTAGACACCAAAGTGGTTGGAGGATAGCCAGGCGATAGGACGACGAAGTAAACAGGCACGACTGAGCAGTCACTACGCCAGACAGGCCATCAAGTTGTCGGCTATTATAAATATGTCGTTGTCCAATGTGGTATTAATAGTTGGCTTGGTTGATGGCACACGAAACGGATACCACCACTGATCCAAGACACAGTCGGCTAACAAAGCCACACTCGGACTGTGCCGCGGTGTTGGATTGGCATCTACAGCTGTCGAGTGAGAAACCACATTCCCCCCATAGCCAGCCAGCCAGCACCGCCACTGTTGTGTGTTAATAGCCAAGTTGAACAAAATGCCAAGACCAATGAGGTAGCGGAACCAGCCCTAGCTGTCTTTAATCATGCTTACGGTTAGTAGTACATCACGCTGGCAAATGCCATAGATTTCGACGGTGATAGTAATTCCCTAGGATGTCGGAGGACTTTCGATACAGCCTCGTCGTGCCGGCCAAATGGACCGTTGGTCGTTATCAAGTTGGCCATCGACATTCCATTGGCTGGCATTGAAAACGACTGCGCAACCGGTTCAACGTTGGCCCGTCCACTCGTACGGAAAAACGAAATCCCCGCCGACACAAAGTACGTGGGCAATCTCACGAGGTTGTACGCCAGAGTAGCTGAGTTATGGTTGTCCAAAAGCAATACTCTTTAGTTTTTCATAAATTAACATCATATACATACTGTATCCCATTCCGTAGGTCTTGCCTATCACACCAGTTCAAACTCGTCGTCGTCGACACTATTTACAACTTCAAACGCGTTCTTGTCGTTCGGCTGGGTGGTGACGACGGAGGGGGTCGATGGGGGCAGCTGGATCAAGTCGTAGCGAGCGTCCAGAACGGTGTTGATCATAGTTTGCAACGGCGTCAGCTGGTCTTGGCCAGTGAGGGCAGCTTTGAGCACCGCCGGTGAAAACCCCGACAGGAGCGACACATTCGCTTCGTTGGCCAGAGTGGGGGCGTCGGTGGTATCTCCGTTCACGTTCCAAAACACCATGTGGGGCAGTGTATACCCCGCGGCAGCAAACTCGTGAGCAACCGCTTGGAAATTCGTCTCAGCCCCCCCCGCCTCGTCAAACTGCATATCGGACACCACGATGAGCTTCTCGGGCATGCTGTTTTGGGCGACGTTGTTGTTTGTGGCCGTGGTCAAGATGAGGCGCAGCGCCGCCATGAAGTCTGTGTTGCCGCCCCACGGCGCCTGCGCTAAACAGTGCACTTTTTCCAACAACGACGTCCCCACGACCTCGTGAAACCGCGGCTTCTCCTCAAATGTCATGACCAAACCGTGGAATTCCCCTTCCACGACCTCCGACACGAGCAATCCGAGGGCGATCGACACCATCATTGGGGTGCCACTCATCGACCCTGACACGTCCGACATGACGAGTGTCCGGCCGAGGTGTCCCGCCGCCCGCCCGTTGGCCAGCATCACCTTCCACTGCGCCTCGACCAACTCGTTTTCGACTGTGTGCAGTTCATCGTACGCGCCATAGTACTGCGCGACCACTTGGTGTGGATGCAAAACGGATGCATTCACTTTGGTCGCGCCGGTCTTGAGGCCATGCTTCCACGTCGTGAACTTGTCTGCCAAGTGCTTGTCAAAGGCACGGTGGGGTTTTCCGTGCCTGTGCATGGCCACACTTGGCACCTTGTTCAGATCGATGGCCTCCCAGTCATTGGCACACATGCGTTGCTCCAGAAGTTGCAACTTGGCCCGAAGGGGCGCAAGGAATTGCTTGCGAAGGTCCGCCGACGTTAATCCCATGTGTTTGGCCAACTTAAAGTTGACGCGGTGCGTGCCCTTGTCGGCCGACTTGTTTTCACTTGGCACCCACTTGGCACACAAACTGACTACTGGTTCTTGGCTGTCCAAGGCCGTTCTATCCTTGCGCAACTGGTCGGCCAACACTTGCAACGCCGCGGCTTCCAACGGCGTGCCCATCAATGCCAGCACGTCGTCGAAGCGGCCGTATTCTGCCACGTAATGGCTCAAGTTGTGCGCGAGCGCGTCCGGGGCGTGCGAGGCCAGCCATTTGAACGCAAAGCGAGCCACCTCTCGCTCCCCCTTGCCGAATCGAATATCGCGAAGATGCGCCACGAGTTTGAGCGTGTGCAGTGCGTCTTCCTTGTATGCCGCAGCCACCAGCTGCTCCACTCGAGACTCGGGGGTGCCGCGAAGCACGCCAAAGTACAAGTCCACGCGGGCACTGGTGGTCGTGGCGTGGGTGACAGCACCATTGGACGTTGTTGTCATCTTTTGTACAGCGATCTGCTTGGCAGCTTGGGCAAAGGACATGGTCAGGGCGTCGAATTGAAAACTGAGGAGGTGGTTTTGCAGCAAACCAGCACCGATGGAGGCAGTGAATGATGGTCGCTCTCGTGAAAGTGATGGTCCAGGTATGTCGTGGGGTTGTGTTTCATCACTTCAAAGTGCTGAGTGGTTGGTGAGTACATGTAGTAAGTATACTGTATGAGCTGTACCAGGGTCGTATCTAATTTCACGATTGGTATTGGCACCACCACCACCACCATGCAACCATCGCCGCCTTCCAGTCATAAGTACAGTGCTAGCAAGAACGACCCAACCCGTGTACTGTAGGCCACGCCTTCGAGAGTTTTAGTCCAACATGTCAAGTAAACTGCACCAGAATGAGGTACGACTAGTACAGCAGTATGCATTGGTGGTAAATATGTATCATGCAGGTATAAAACTGCTGCAACACGCGATTAGATGGAGTGCTCGATGATAAGGCGCCGCTCACTGTGTTCTCACACGCGGCCCCGTAGGGATTGGCCGTACTTGGCCTTGTAAAGACTGGGGAGATCTAGGTTAAACTCGAACGATGGCCGGCCGCCGAGAGTTCGAACCGTAACATTACGAGTCGACGGGAGAGTTCGTTCACATCTGAAACTTTGCACCATACTAGGCTCTTCATTGTTTGTGTCCATTCCTTCATACTTCGAAGTAATATGGTTGTGAATACACTGTACTGACTGTACTGTAGCAAACGATCAAGGTACAGTAGCCATGGCAACAAGTAATGGAGAAGGCACTACCACTTGACAACTAGCTTGGTGCTGGCCTTAACTGCTCCTGTACAGGTACACCTAGCTCCCTATGTCGTCGATCCATGACCACTTGAACACCCATATATGTAGCCAGCTCCCTAACTCCAAGCCAATGGGTTGTCGTAGTTTCTGGCAAATGGGGATTCAATCGTGATCTTACTGTGTGTATTAGTTGTGCAGTCAGTGTTTACCATGCATTCATTGGCTCGTTGCTTTAATGTTACTACGTAGTATACAATTAACTGTAACGTTAAGCTATAAAGTTAAGTGTTTATATCAACTGTATGATATTTTCATATTTTCTGGTAAATTATGAATCACAAGTCCAAATAAATTTGTGTACTACTACGTAGTTAGTATTTATTAGGTGATTTTGCCCGGACAGGCAGGGCCTAGTATCCTAACTATTAAGTGCAGCGTTGCACCCAACGGTGGCTATTCCGCGAGAAGACAATATGGCGGACATAAGAATATGATATTTTGAACACAGTGGGTTATTCGATCTAAGCCATCGTGGAAAGACACGGCGGGGTGGTAGTGATGATGGTGCACACATGGCACAACACACAGCGCCGCCATAAGATAGTTTAATGGCGCAGCGCGCGGTCGTACACAACCAGTAGCACCTTGCCGAAGTCGCCGCTCGTTTCGCCGTGGATGCGTTCGCGGAGGTCCTTGCCATGCTTGGCCTTGTACGCTTGCGCCACTTGGGGCAAGATGGAAGCATAGCGTACGATGGCTGCGGTCAATCCGTACTCGTCCGTACCGATGCCCTTCAACGTGGATTCGATGTGGTTAGCCACGGTTTCCACCGCGTTCAGTTGGATTTGGACGTGGAACTTGAGCGCGCGCTCGGCGTCGCCGGTAAATTCCTTCTCAATGGCCACAATGAGACCGTGGTTGTGCTTGGCCTTGTACGCGGCGTCCACCGCGGGCAAGAACTCGGACGGAACCGAGTACAAAGCGTTGACGAAAGCACTCTCGTCCGTGCCCCACTTGCCTTCGCCGGCTTTGTAGATGGCCTCCGCGACCTCTTCAGCCTTGTGGCGGGTATGGATGGACGGATCATAAGCTTGAGCGAACGAGTTCAAGGCGGCAAGGTAGACTTTCTTGAGATCGCCGCCAATGTCGTCGGCGATCACCACGACCAAGTCCTCCTGGTACTTTTGAAAGAACGCCTTCTTCAAGATCGCGAGTTCGTCGTTGGAACGACCGCCAAAGATCGGGTACAGCAGATCTTCGTTGGTGCCCGAGCCCTTGGTGGCATCACGCACGATGCTGGCTTCGGCATCTTCGAGCGGCTGCGCCAACAACTCGAGCGCCTTGCCGTAGTCGCCGGATGTCTCGCCCTTGATTTCATCCAGAAGGGACTTCTTGTGCAGTTCCGGGTACCGCGCGCTGATGAGGTAGCGCTCGCGGGTGGTGCGGTTGCCCAAAGCTTGGGTCAATCGGTTTTCGTCGGTGCCGAAACCCGCCGCCGCCGAGTAGATTTCGTTGACGAGGTTGTCGATTTCAGGCGAGCCGGCCGAGATGGTGGCGCCGTGGTGGGCGTCGCGGGTTTCTTGCGAGTAAACGTTGAAGAAGGTCATGGTAAGGGGGCTGTCGTTGGTTGTTGGGGATGCAAAATGCAAAATGAGCTTATGAAACGAGGGTGTCAATGACAAGCTATGCAGCAGCTGTACAGTGTACAACTTGTCCGAAGACGAGGCTGTACGTACGGTATGGACATACTATCTATGCTCGGTACACTTCATATATCTATCGGCTACCGATTCACTTTCAAGCGAGGGGCGCAGCCAAACTGGTGGTGCCATCCTGCTGCGTCACTGGTGACGATTGCCTGGTTTGGAACGAATGGCTTCCTCTTGCACGTTAATGTAGGATCGATCCTAATCTTGAATGCAGTAAATAGATGTGTGGTAATGTGTCGCATACATGAGCATACAAATCGCAAGCTTTTCGCCAATGGTGAGAGGTAGGCGTTTTCCTCATGAGTTTCTCATATCAAGTTGAAGTTGCGTTTTCTCGCATGTAGTGGGATTGTCAGCCTGGAGCCAATCAAAAGTGTCCAGGGATGGCGTCAAGATCGTCATTTGGTGATTTGGCATATATATTTTTAATCTCCCATACATTTGACAGTATCATGCAATAAAAACGACAAAATATAACCTGTTTCGCGTGAAAATTATCCTCCCGTCTGATTGGCCGTCATGGGACTGAATCCCCTCAGCCTCCTTTTCATACCCACTTGCAAAGTCGCGTTGGTATAATAATCCAACCGACTGTATACATTATCTCATAGGTTTGACAATTATTTTTGGGTATGTTTTAAAAAACATACCCAACTCCTCTTCGTTTTAGTATACCAGAGTGAATAGGGAGAGATCTCCATGGATGTTGTGTTTTCAGGAATGCGTGTTTTGACTTGAGTTTTGTATAATGGCATGCCAGCAGCTCATCCCCTTGGTCGCGTATAAGGCCACGTGGCCTTTGACTACCACTTACCATATGAGTGAAATTTTTCACAGGTCTTTCCAGAAGCAAGGACGACGAGGAGCTTCTTTATGACCAAGCCTCATTTTCCAACATTCTTGTAAACATGCAAGTATATTCGCAAGTATCCCGCGAAGCGGACAAGGGAGTGGCCATCAACCCTGCGTCGCCTGAGATCGACAACTTCTGTCATGAAATCAAGGCCGCCATCGCCGGCTTCGGCACGGACGAAGACCGGTTGAACCGCGTGCTGGGCGCCCGATCTGTCACGGAGCGGTACCTGATCAGCTTGCGCTACCCGCAGCTGCACAAGACTTCGCTTCTGGACGACATCTCGAGCGAGACGTCGGGCGACTATGGCAAGTTGCTGCAGTTGTTGGCGCAACCGCTCGAAGACGCGGAAGCCAGCATCATCCGCGACGCGACCAAAGGCTCGGGCACCAGCGAAAAGCTGTTGTACCCCGTGTTTGGTGGCCGGACGCCCGATGAACTGACCATCTTGAAGAAAGCGTTCTTCAAGAAGTTCCAAAACGACTTGGTCGTCGTGGTCGCCGACGACATTGGCGGCGACCTCAAGAAGTTTTACCTTGCCGTACTCAACTCGTTCACGCAACCATTCAACCCGGAGGTACACACCCAGCACAAAGCCGAAGAAATCGCCGAAGTCCTGTACAAGGCCGGCGAAGGCAAGTGGGGCACGGACGAAGCCACGTTTCTCAACACGTTGCTGTCCATCCCGCCGCAGTTCCTCCGCGCCGTCGATGCCGCGTACGTGGCCAAGCACAAGAACAACCTGCACCGCGCGATCGAAAAGGAGTTTGGCGGTGATGCTGAAACCGCCATCTTGTACCACCTGAATTTGGTGCTCGACCCGATCAACACGATTGTGACGCAGTTTGAAAAGACCATGAAGGGCATCGGCACCGACGAGTACGGACTCTCGGCGGCCATTGTCCGATACCAGTCGATTTTGCCGCAGATCGCCCCCGCGTACAAGGCCAAGTACGGCCAATCGCTGCGGGACCGCGTGTATGGCGAAGTGAGCGGCGACTTTCGCAAGTTGCTCATCATTATCCTCGAAAACTCCATCTAAATGCAGTAGCGTTTTCCATAGCTGCAAACGTAATATAATAGAGAGGATTTTGCTGGCCGAGATAAACGGATACAGTTACTGCAAAGGACGTCTTCTTCTGGCATGGCGTCATTATAATTGGTAATTGTTGCAGCTAGATATGTACGAACCTCGTTTATAAGGAAAGCCAACTGATGCTGCAAACATGCTTGCTCATGTCGAAAGCTACTGCTATAAACGTACCAACACGAAGCAGCCCATTTGACAGGCACGACGGGGTTGTATCGAACGCCCCCCGATTTCCAAGGCGTGTTCCATCACTTTAGCTGAATTCTACCTTTCGAATTCTATGGCTTTGCTGTCGAGTACGTCGACTACCGTACCAGCCTTCAAAGATAGCTGGGGCTGCCTCATCAGAGTTGGCATGTGATTCAACTTTGCTATCAACGCGCAACCGTGGCGGTGCTGGCTATGGGGAAACTGTGGCTGCTCACTCGACAGCTGTACATGCCAATCATCTACTGTACCCGTCCATCCAACACCGCGCCACGGTCCGAGTTTTACTAGCCGACTGCGTCGTGGACCAGGGGTGGTACCCAAGCTGCCCCATTGCACGGCTGATTGCCAATAAGTACGTACGTACACGTGGCCAACGTTACTAGTTTCGATCGCATCAGAATATCGTACGCAGTCAGTGTAAGATTGCCACGAAGTCGACGGCAACACCATCGATTCAATAATAACGTTATGGACGTGCAAATTGGTACATAAACCTCAACGTAATTTGTATGACTTTGATCGTCTGTCAATTACACTGACCCTCAAAATGCCAAACGAGTGATTGGTTGAAAGCCAAAACTGTAGTCTACACCTTTTAACGCCCCTTATCCAAGGACACGAAAGCAAAGTCGTGGGGGCTACATACAGTATGTAGCGCAAATTTCGAAGTGCTTTCCAAGGTGTTGGGGATATGCACTACAGTAGAAGCTTGGGTGGTCCCATCCTTGTAGCTAAATCGCACTCTACTCGTACAGTATATGAATGCTGCTTGGATTTGCTAACACTCACTTACGGTATATGGTTTACCCCACGGAAGGTCCCTATGCTGTGTGGGGTTGTGGCGGTAAAATGCAGTCGCACTTTAGAGGGATTTACACTATGCTTCTCTCAGAATTATAAGAGTATCTTTCGTACTTTAAAGGGAGTCCTACCTTGGAAGAAACGCAAGGGATTGGTCAGCTTTTTACATTGTCGAAATGACTGTCGTTTGGTCGAAAACAACTAAGAAGCTTTGCCGATGGCGTCATTTTCCAAGTTTCTCTCTGTCGTCAGCATCCAAGAAGGCCATGTCGCTGCTCCCGCTGTACCCCCAACAAGCGTATGAAGTCAACAACGGTGTCGTGCTCAACGTCGCGAGCGCCGAGATCGACAACGTGTGCCATGAGATCAAGGCCGCGTGCGCTGGGTTTGGCACGGACGAGAGCCGATTGAGCCGCGTGCTGGGGTCCCTGAAACCGAACATACGTCACTTGGTGTCGGTGCGGTACCCCCAACTGCACAAAGGGCGCACGTTGCTGGCCGAAGTCCAAGGGGAAACCTCGGGTAGCTATGGCAAGCTCTGCGAACTGCTCGCGCAACCGTTGGAGGAAGCAGAAGCGATGATCGTGCGCAACGCGACTAAGGGCATGGGCACCAAAGAAAACCTGCTGTACCCCGTGTTCAGCGGTCGCACGGCGGAAGAGTTGACGATCCTGAAGAAGGCGTTTTTCAAAGTGTTTGGCGAGGATTTGGTTGTTGTAATCGCTGACGACATTGGCGGCGACTTGAAGAAGCACTACTTGTCCGTGTTGAACGTGCTCACGCAATCGTACGACCCATCGATTCACACGCAACGCAAGGCCGAGGAAGTCGCCGAAGTCATCTACAAGGCTGGCGAAGGCAAGTGGGGTACGGACGAAGCTACGTTCTGCAACACGCTGTGGTCGATTCCGCCGCAGTTTATGACCCAAGTCAACGCCGCATATGTTGCCAAGCACAAAAACAGTTTGGCGCGCGCGATCGAAAAGGAGTTTGGCGGACACACGGAGCGCGCGATGTTGTTCCATTACAACATGATCACCGACCCGATCAACACGATCGCGGACCAGTTCGAGAAGACCATGAAGGGCATGGGCACCGACGAATTTGGACTGTCCGCGGCGCTCGTGCGATACCAGGCGTACTTGCCCCAGATCGCGCCCGTGTACAAGACCAAGTACGGCCAGTCGCTTCGCGATCGCATCTACGGTGAAACTAGCGGCAACTTTCGCAAGTTGCTCATGACAGTGGTTGAACACTCGCTTTAAGGTCCATCATTCTAGAGTTACCTTTTGAACAAGCCGTAGATGGCCAGTTTATGGTGCACTTGAAAGAGACTTTGTCGTAGAATGCAGCTTACTCGTCTCTTAGATGGCCAGTTTATGGTGCACGGGACAGTTTAAGGTGCACTCAAATTGGCCAATGGAATTGCTTGATTTTTGGAAGAGCCAATCCAATCACTAGAAAAATGAAATCACTAAAAAACAGCATACATATTTTAAGCTAAAACCGTGCACCATAAACCGTCCCTCCGATTTTGCCTTGACTTGAGTGGAATCGAAGTAAATGAACGTAAGCTGATCTCTATTCAAGCTGATTAAATAATCAGAAGAATGCCCAATCTTTCGGCTTCATGCAGCCCTTTTCAGAATTGAAATCTCGGTCCTGGGAGACGAGTAAGCTGCGTTCTACAACGAAGTCTCTTTCAAGTGCACCATAAACTGGTCATCTATGTTAGGAACGGGATTTGAATCATGAAGACGAAAGATTGGGCATTCCCTGGTTATTTATTCGGCTTAAATGGACGTTCATTTACTTCGATTTTCACTCATGTCAAGGCAAAATCGGAGGGACGGTTTATGGTGCACGGTTTAAGCTTAACATATGTATGCGGGTTTTGCTTATTTTTTGGCGATTTCATTTTTCTAGTGATTGGATTGGCTATTCCAAAAATCAAGCTATTCCATTGGCCAATTTGAGTGCATCTTAAACTGTTCCGTGCGCGCACCATAAACTGGCCATCTACGTTACCGTAGTATTGTCGATTTGATACAAATTTTGGGTGGGGGCGCTATCGTATCACGCCAGTGATTCGGTTTGTGAACGAGTCTGATTGGCTCAATTTACGAAAGCTTGGTGTGATTGGCTAAAGACTTTTGACAGCCCAATACTATTATACTATCCAACGTCCATCTTGCGCGCCATTATTATTCAACCAGCATTCGACGAGCCATGACTGCAGACAACAGTCCAGCCTGGAACACGCGATCGTCGCAGACATCCCATCGACACAAACGTAAGGCGACCATATTGTGTACCAGTAGTCGTAATCATATGCTGTACTGTGAGCGTGCGCAGAGGAAGACGCAGGAGATGGAAGAATCAAGAATGAATTGATAGCGTTAAGACTACTACGCTATCACTAAGCTACGCGCAACCAACCGTTAATGTATCGTCGGGGGAACACCTTGGTTGCGCAAGAGGACATGTTGGTCTGCGATGAGACACCTTGGACTGAAGAGGTGTCCACAAGTCATCCGGTTAATAACCGTATGATGGGTACGGTTACATTCTCCCCTGTTACGACAGAACGTGCCATCATCACGTGGTCAGAAATGAGAGGGAACTGTTGACGTGACAGTTGAGATGGGAGATGGCAGACGAAGGCAAGAAGCGCAAGGTGAGCGAAATCGCCGAGGATGCCGACGACAGCGTGGATAAGGCCGAAGCGCCGGCGCAGCAAGTGGAGGTAGTGGAGCTCACAGCCGAATCGGATGACGTTGACGGAGTGGCGCCGACGAGGACGCCACCGAAGTGGCGCAACGCAAGGCCGACTGGGAGGCCAAGGCGGCCGTAAATCGCGAACGGCTTGGACAGCTGGAGCAGGAATCGGCTGCAGACTTGGTGAAAAGCGCCATGCAGACAGTGGGCGCCGAAGGTATGCAAAAGCTGCTGGAGCAGCACTTGGCACGGGAGGAGGCAGCCAAGAAGAGAAGAGCGGCCGAAGAGGTGAAGGCGAAGGCAATGCGCGCCGAAGAGGCCAAAACGATCGCAGCGGCTGCGGCGAAGGCGCCTGACGAAGCAGCGAGTAAGGCGGCCAGCGGAGGTGTCACTGGGACACCATCAAGTGATGGGGGACATCCCAACGCTGCATGCGTCGGGGGAAAGGAAGGAAAGGTGAGCGGCATGGAAGCCGCCATAACGACGCAGGCCAAAGTGGAAGCCGAACTTGGTGGACCGGAGCGGATCGGCCTCGCCCGCGAAGAAGTTTTTGAGCGTAAGTTGAAGTTCCACTGGGATTGCTCTCGGATCTACACGCCTGCCCGTTGGTGTGGCGTGGACTTGGGGTATGTGTGCGACGTTACGCGCCGTTTGACGGTAGTGGGCGAGTTCGACGAGACTCGCGACGATTGGGGATACCAGACGGCCAATACTGCCGGTGTGGAACGATACCTGCTTTTGAAACAGTGTGGCCGTCAGCCATCTTGACGCGAACCCTGTAGGAGGGATCCGAAGTGGGTAAGCGGTTGAAGCGAGAGAGAGTGGAGCGGCTAGCGTAGTTGTTCGACGCCCTACAATCGATTAAAGCAGAGAGCCTGGCCGGGAAGCCAGGCACGACAAGTTCCAAACAAATCATTTTGTTGGGTTGGAGCCCAACACGACACAGAAGAAGGTCTGTGTCCGAGGCTAGGTCCTGAGAGTGTGTAAGCGTGCCACACACCTCCAATGGACCTAGGGTGTCCCCAGTAGGTCGCCTCACGCCTACCGGGAGCGACCGTTTCCCGCCGCACTCTAGCTCGGAGCGGGGCGGAAAGGCGGATGTGAGCCGTCATTGCGTTCACGATTAAAACGGTTAGGTGGACCGCTCGGAGGGCGATGCGAAGAGGTATCAGGAGCGGCACGGGGGGAACCATGTGAGGGAGGAGCAGCTGACGCCACACGGCGAGGTGCCGGGCATGCGCGGGAGAAGTGTCCTGGGCGACCGCAATTGAAACACGTGCGGTCGTCCGATGCCTGGGTGAGCATGGAGCCATCCATGTCCGAGGACGCCGCGCGTGCGTGCGCGAAGGAGGAGGAAAAAGATTCCGAAAGCGCGATTCGGACGGCCTCTTCGAAGGTGTCCGGGTAGGCGCGAAATAGCTTTGTGCGCGCCGGGCCTTGGTTGAGAGTGTCCATGTAAACGGTCACCCGTAGGGGCTCCGGGAGTGACTCTTAATCGTTGATGTTCGCAGCCAAGAAGCGAAGGTTATGGAAGAACTCTTGAAGGGAGCGTTTCCCTTACTTGCAAGCTAGATATTGCGAGCGATAACGAAAGTCGCTGTTGGGTGGCAGGAACATTGCCTTGAGTTCGGTCTCAAAGACCGCGAAGGACGGGAAGCAGTGTAGGCCCGTCAAACGTATGGAGAACGCCCAATCTTCCGCACGACCCTTGAAATGCGACATCTCGAAAGCTACGCGGGTGGCGTCGTCGGGGATACGCTGAGCGTCAGCAGCAGTGCTGCCTTGTAAAAGCCAGCGGAGGAGTTTGTCAGACTCCGCTCCGCCGAATTTGGCAACATCCAGCTTTATCGACTTCATACGAGAAGACGATGGCGTTTTCGACTCCGAAGCGCGCGTGAGGCGCGCGATCTCATCGTGAGCGATGCGCAGATAATCTTGGAGGGTGCGACCATGTGACGTCATAATGGAGGCTTGTTCTTCTAGGGACGCGATTCTCATCGCCCGACGACAGCCGAAGTCGGGGATGCGAGCATGCTTCGATTTCCCAGTTTGATCCATGATTTGAGTCCTGCGTGTTGTCCTCAGTCCGATGTGATGGTTGAATGTGTTTGATATTCGAACTAAGGGTTGTACAGTATTGTACTAGCATATTTTTGCCGCCACTCGTCCGTTTTGCAGCTTAGTATAATTTATTCCACAACATTCCAAACTAACTACTAAGCTTCGGAGTCTCTCGACACCACCACCATGACGCCCGTGTATCCTAGATGACGTGGCAGTACAACAACAACACAAACTAACTATTAACCTTTGGAGTCTCTCGACACCACCACCATGACACCAATGCATTGTTCATCACATGGCAGCACCTTCACACTAGATTCAAAGTACTGAGCCTTAGAGCCTTGTGACAAGCTGGATGATGTGGAAGGACTAACGTTAGCACCACAATAGCTTTGTCGTCTCGTGACCACCACTGAACGACGTGTTAGGACCACTAGATCATACTACTACGTACTAGTAGTATGTACTACTACAGTATCATGTTGTAAGAGGCAACGTACCGTTGTGTGTAAGCCCCGACTTGACGCCAACGGAAGCGCTTCGCTATCGTTGGCCTTGGGGCCACGGACTTCGTTGGACAATGGAATGGCTGTGACTTAAAGTCGTTTATCCGGACGTTTTATCCGGATGCGCTGAAAGCGCATGCGCCGAAAAGTGGAAACCCACCGATGTCTCTATCCGGCCACTATAACCGGATACTGACTCCAGCAATATTTTATTGCATACAACTTCAAATGATTTATTAAAAACCAATGTACTGTATTTTCAGCGGCGACCACTCACCATGGGAGACAAGAATGTGCCCCGCGAAGTACGGCTGGCGCGGGCAGCTTCCGTCGCAAACCGCTCTGCACGGCGCTGTAGGTACCTGCGTTGGTTCGCAGCTCTCTTTGAGGTGTTCTCAGCTGCCATACTCTTGTAGCGTGCCATGACGGCACGATAGTGGTCATTGTCCTCGAGGCGCAAGGGCATCAAAGTCGCGTGGAAGTTGGTAAGGGCAAACGTGAATCGCTGAATGTCATCATAGAGTTTCTCACCCCATACAAATGTTGCGTAGGACACCTTCCAAAGCGAGCACATCCGGCCAAAGAAGTTTTCGACAACGACACGGTCAGAAGAAACTTCCTTGTTCCTGTCCATGTCGAATCGGTCTAACGTGCCACTCACAGGCTTCTTCTTCGGATGTATGGCACGCGCCGACGCCGCAAGGCCGATATATCCCTTGTCCACAAGGACTGCCCACGAGGTAGGATGCTCTCGGAACAGTTCCCCGTTGTCGTTGATGGTGTCGTCGTAGTCGTCCTTCGCGAGCGCTTGAGTGTGTTGGTCCAGGCGGCTTCGGAACATGGTGAGGTCATACACCGACCCTGGCTCGTGAGGACTCATGTCGACAAGCAACCCCTCAGGTGAGACGGAAGCTTCTATCTTAAAGCCGTACAGAGTGCTTTTGTTCACCGAAGCGGCTGGAGGGACGATGGGCCGGCTGGAACTTGACGTCCGTCGCATACAGTGCATAGGGGCAGTGAGTGAACACCTTGTCCTTGGAGCGCAGCGACGTCATGCGGGGCAGAGACATGAAACAGGTGTACAGGAGCTTCGAGCACACGCCGACATCCATCACGACGAGTTTCTCCAAGGTTGGTGCCTTCAGGCCGAAGTCCACAGCGTGCTTTTCCCAGGTTTGGTAGTGTTTCATTACCGTTAAAGTAACAAAGAACGGGTCTTTGGCACTTGTTGCGGACTTCCGACCACGACCGTCATTCCAACGTGATGTCATAGTAGATTCAGCATTCCCCCAGATGACCTCGAATTCCTCCGGTGTAAAGTTTGTTAACACACGGAATCCTTCGGCGCCAGCGTCAAGAAGGGTCTTGTCCATGATGGGGTTGTTGGTTTCGTGGAACTCGTCCTCTTCCAGGACGGCATCGCCGTATTCGTCCAGGCATTGCTGGAGGTAGAGGTTGTCTGAGGCAGTCTGGTCCTGGAGGCGCTCGAGCATGGACGACACGTTGAGGCGCATGGTACACAGGCGATGAAAGAGTGATGAATTATGAGTTATGAGTAAAGGAATGGTTAGAAGGCACTCTTGAGGATAACTGGTTGAGCCGTCGTTGTGAATGGCGCGAATCATTTCCAGCCAACGAGAATTTGAGTCCAAGGGCGATGGAAA